TGCTTCCTTCCTTCCTTCCTTCCTTCCTTCCTTCCACAATACTATGACTTGTGACTTCCAAAATAAAGTTCTGTGTTGTCATTTGGAGGAATCTATTAAAAAATTAATACTAAGAAAACTTTTAAAAACCAACTAAAATGCGCAAATTACTAATAAGTTCCTTTTTCTTAAAAAGCAGCATTCCAAGGTCTGCATATGTATATGCTGTGCAAAGAGAAGGCTTTAGGTCCTAACCCTGATAATGCCAGGCATGACATGTATGTCTCATGTAGTAAAACTGCAAATTAGAGGCAATGAACACATGCTTTGTCCAAAATGACAACATATCCAAAATAATTTTGCACACAGAAGTTGAGGATGGTGGAGATGTCATTATTAGCAAGATATTTTTAGAGTTTCAGGCTTGGGCCAATTTAGTGGAAGTATTCTTATTCCAAGAGTTTTCAAATCAATTGAATTTGAGGAGATGCTTTCTATACGCCCAAGAGCCAGTGTAGGTAATGGACCAGGGAGGCTTATATTCAGTCTTCTCCTTAGCCATGGAACTGAGTGAACAGACTTGGGCAAACTACAGAATCTCAACCCAGAGCACCTCGAACAGTTGTTGCTGGAATATAATCAGACAGCCCTTGTAGAGTGCCCTGCAAACCCTGACTTGGCATCTTGACGCCAAACAACTTCACGCAAATCTACCTTTAAGAGGCAGAGGTCCAATATCATTCTTACCCTTCTCTGAGCTTTCTGGTGATTGGCTCGAAGGATGAAAGGCTTAATCAGGAGCATCCAAGGAATAGCAATAATGGCAAAAATGACGAGGAAGGTTTGCACTTCTTGCTAGAAAGAACAGATAAATAAACATAGAGATGTCTATAAAATGGTTACAAGAAAATGTATTGTCCAGTCACCTCCTTTCAAAAATGTGGTTGTGCTGTAACATGGGAGAGGAAACACCTTCTCCCTCAACAATACAGTGTGGGAAAAGATAACTTAACCACTTTAAGATTGCTTAACCACTCAACAGCAATCAGCAAGGTGGATAGAAATCATTGATTTAAACTACAATTTAAATTTTAAAAATCAATTTTAAATTGTGATTTAAATCACTTTGATTTAAATCAAATCCACCCTGGCAAGCAATTAGCAAGGACAGGCTCTTTAGATTTGTATTGCACCTGGTATATTACATCTGAAGGCCTATGTGACTTCCTGATATAAACCAGAAATGTTTCATTCTAAGTGACTTACATGGGATGCTAGAAGCTTATATCAAATATAAAACTTTTAGTATCTCTAAAAACAAACATTTCTTTCAAATTGGAGATACACTGGATTAAATACAATTGCTAATCCCAAATTCTGTAAACTCACTGAGTTAATGGGTCTTACCTCAATTCAGAATTCATACAGATTGACTTAATCAAGTCCTTTTCATGCACCAAGTCTACTCTAAGTGGGGCTAACAATTGGATTTCACCTCACTGGCTGCATTCATACTTCATGCTAAGCCATGGTTTGTGTTAATTATAATTCCATAGATGAACAATATATATATATATCACCATTTGTTTCTCCATTTCTGATCTGTTCTCTCTTACCCTTTTGTCAAATCCTGTTTCGAAATGTGCAGTTAGGGAAACAAGGAAAGGACAAGCTCAGCTTGTCATTCAAGGTCCAAATGTAACAACAAACCAAAATAGAAACAAGCCAGAGGTGGTAAGCCAACAGGAAATCATAACTTCTAATTATGATTTGCAGCTGGTTAACCAAATCACAGCACATTTGTGGGAACAGATTTGGAAAGAAGAAGCAAGAATTCAATAAGTTGGAATCCTGCTTGTTATATGCAAAAAACAAATGAATGAAAGAAATGATACTGTGCATTCCAAAAACCCACATCTATCTTGCTATGTACTGATGAAATTACTATTTGGAGAAATAGTGACTTACCTTGAGAAATGGCTAAACTTAGAAGCCAGCTCCTTGACATTATTAATTATGACTGTTATGAAAGAGGTTTCTGAATCTTCGGCTATATTTTCATTCAAACATTATTTTCTCTACATTAGAAGTATTTTTGCCTTCTTGCTTAATAAATCAAGCAGGCTTGCTAAACATTTCAAATCTGCTACTTGGAAGCTTGTGTGTGTAATTTCAACATGGAAGCTGAAAACTGATGACACAAAGTTTGGAAACTGCTGGTTTTTACTCCTTCAGTGTTCCAAAATTCCTGAACCAGGGGTGAGGGATCCTTTGGTTTAAAGCAAAAAAGTTATGGGTGACACTAGACTCCCAGAGCAAGAAAAATTCAGACAGATGCATATCTGTCTGAATTTTCAGACAGATATCCAATTCAGACCATGGATAAACTTCACTGAAACAGCATTGTACTATGAGGATTGAGTGTTTGTGTGAATGTGGAAGGATGCTCATGGTATGGGCTCTGAGTGGATTAGTCACACAATCTGGTAGCTACATAACCCCCCCATCCCTGCCACAGCCATTTACAAGAGTGGGTTCCCCCCCCTTTAATAGAGATGGACTTGGGGATTAAGGAGTTTGGAATGCCTCCTAAAGGGTACATAGCAGAGTGAAGAGTCCCATATCTCCGGAATCCAGAACTATGTGACTTCACCTTAATAAACACAACACTGGAGTTAGTTTAACTAAGAGCAAGGTGCTTTCTCCAAATGAATTAGAGAGCAAAAACACCTTTTAGTGACCTTTCTCTGTAACATACACTAAGCATATTAGCTTGCTCATAGATACGTTAAACCTGATGCAATTGTTACTACCACAACTGACCTTTCCTTTTAATTTACCCAAAAGATTATTTTTAATATCTGCTTATTCATTGGCTCCTACAGGATGAAACTGATACAATTCCATGCAATTCAATCACAGAGAGGGGAAAAAAAACCTCAGACCATTATAATACATGAGCTTCCACAGGTTCCTTTGCCCTGTCTTGCAGAGACATGGGTGAAAAAATAACATTAAAAGGAACTAATGAAAGGAAAACGTCACTTTTTGGAACTGTAAAAAAAAACTCCTCTAACACAGGCCTTTAATACTTGTGTTACAGAAGTAAAAACACAGCAACAATACTACTGGGTTACGCAAAAGAACCACCTAGTCCATTATTCTCTTTCTACCAAGTAGCTGCAGCAAGGGTGGGGAAAGCGTTGTCCCCCAACAGGGACTTTTCCGGGCCTCCATCTCCATCCGAGGCCCCTAAGAGGAGCAATGACCCCCCAAAAAAGAGATTATTGTTCCCTTTCTGGAAGTGATTCTGGAGCTATACCTCCTGCAAAGCACCCAACCTTACCCCCCACTCCGAAAGAATCAATGGAACAGAAGAGAAACATCTAGCCATTTTGAGACTCTCCCACTATTCCTGCATTTTGTCTGCAGTAGGTCCTGGGAGTGGAAAAATAGCCCCCAGTGTACATGTTCTGCTAGTTTATAAGTGCCATATTAGCAAAACAGCACCTTTCCTATTTGTGGTCCTCAGGAGCAATACAGTGACACGGCACCCCTTTTCCTCCTTTTTCAAGCCATCCAAGTCAATGACTACTTTTTTTAATTAATTCATTAATTAACACACTTAATTAATTTAGATCCCTGCTTTTTTCCCCCCAATAAAGGGACACGAGGTGGCATACAACAACTAAAATAATTCATATATTTAACATCACTGTAAACTAAAACATTGACATTAAAATATTATGAAACTAACAGAGTGTTAAACCATCATTAGCTAAAACAAGTTAAAACATTTTAAATGCCTGGCAAAAATGTGCTGTTAAAACATGCTTCTTTTCGGGGTTGCCAATTCTATTGTTTACACAGTACTTCCATCTACCTTCCCTTAGGCACGCAACCTTTCAGTTTCCACCTTACTTCCTATTTATTTCCTCAATAAGTAAGACAAGGATGAAAGCCAAGAATCTGTACCTGATGCTCATAGAGGGGATGGTTTGTCTTGTCACCGTAACTAAACAGGAACATGTTGATGAAGTGGATGAGGATGCTTGGGGCATCATCGGCACTACGGGCGTTGTACCGGCACCACTTAAAAATGATCATGAAAACGAGGTAACCGAAGAGGCAGAGGATGAAGATCATCTCTGGAATGAACTGCAAGATAATGTTGATGGTTCTCCTAAAATAACTGGAAAGGAAAAGGAAAAGAAAGCAATGGTATTAGTGGTTATTGTGGAAGCACAGAAGTGATTGCCAAGCAGGGAATCTGTTACAGTCCCTCAGATGTGGTTGAGATCCTGTTTTGATAGGACTCTAACTCCTGTCAGCCCCTGTCACCACACTAGTGGCGAGAGCCGATGGAGGTTTCAGTCCACCTATGTTTGCTGGCAAGGGTTGAGAGCGAGACTGGAACTATATCTGAGCCATTGGATTACGGAAAGGGGCACCATGTTCTCTATGCTCTACTCCCTGCCTTGCTCCACATAGCCATGGACCCAGACGCACATGTAACTCCTATGAAATACTGGCTCAGCCCAAAGAGGTGGGATTAAGAAAGAGTGGGGCTGTGAATAAGAGATTTGAATCAGAAAGAGTGGGAGAGCTGAAGAGGCCGGAGCTGCTGTTACCACTTAGACTGGTAAGGCCCTTGCCAACTTGGTCTACATATAATTCTTATATGTTTCATCAACAGATATCTAAGTAAACAAATAGCCCCATAGAACTTCATAATGTTACACCATGCACCCATCAGTTCTTCTTCATGCCCCACCTCTCACAGTAAGCTAACCTTGTGTAGGCACAACACACCTGTAAACCCCTTCATGTGGAGCCAGTGAGTTCTGGTGCCAGCTGGGAATGGATGGAGACAATGGGCCCAGGTTTTAAAGTGACCTCACATATACATATAAAGCTTTTTCCCCCTTTAGAGATAACTGACTCCCCACCTAAAGAAATGGAGAAGCATTACAGTCCCCTGAGACTTCAGTCAGCACCTTAACACCAGTTACAGATGGCTATAGACCCCCTACTCTATACTATAGAACAATGTGGAAGCCAGCTAAGTGAAAACCTGGGCCATATTAAATGACTTTCCTGTCTTCTTTTGATGTAGCCATCCCATGTTAAGCCATGCTAAAAACTCTTAACAAATATCTCATCTCACCATAACAACAAGGCGGAGGTCATTAATATAATGCCGGTAAATTACAATTCTCAGAAATCTTTTCACTAAGAACTTCCTGCTGGTCAGGCTTTGCAGCCTATTTTATGCTCCCATGCTGAACTCATGTTGGGTGTAAACATTTATGAAAGGGGGATTCACAAAGGAATTTCAAGGAAGTAAAGGGCAGGGCTGGCAAGTATAAAATTGGCACCGCTTAGGCATTTCTACTGCTACTTGACTCCCAGCTTCCCTTCAGACCAACAAGGCAGTATATGGTGATGATAAGGAGTAACTAGATCTAGCAGTGGAAGAGACTGGATAGCACAGTTGGCCCTGCAGCTGGCAAGCCTTGATTTGTCTATGCCAGTGGTTCCCAAACTTGGGTCTCCAGATGTTCTTGGACTACAGCTCCCACAAATCCTGGCCAGTGCAGCTAGATGTGAAGGCTTCTGGGAGTTTTAATTCAAGAACACCTAGGGACCCAAGGTTGGAAACTGGTTTATGGTAACCCTGCCCTCCACTCCACCTTTTCCTGAGCGCATCAGGTGCCACCGCCAGAGACTTCTCAGAAAGAATGAAAATGGAGAAGTGTTCCCATCTCTATCAGAATACAGAGCAAGAAGAGAGGATGGTAGACAAAGGAGCCCTTTTAGTGAGGTGCTTTGTTGTATATAGGATACATCTAGTAGTAAGAAGAAGAGAAGGGGCATAAAGTGACAGGAAAAGGAAGTCATTGAAAGTGTAGAATAATGCTCTGCTAAGTATGCTTTTTATTTCCTATAGAGGTTCAGGTGCACAACAAGTAATATTTCCAGCGGTGATGGACTAAACACATACATGTGGTTGAAGAGGCTGAGGATCACCCCAAAGACCATCTGTGAAATCCCCAAGATGACAGACATCTTCATTTTGTAGGAGTTCAAGAACGTTAGCTTGTTGTATGCAATGTTCCAGATCTTGCAGAAAGAGAAGAGAGAACAAAAGCAAATATAAATGATAAGGTGAGGACTTTTAAGAAGTTCAAATGATAGTAAAACCAGGTCCGTATTGTTCCACACAATTTTAAAAAGAGGTGTTAATCATCCTCTCCATCCTGTATGGGACTACAGGAACCTTGAATTGTGGCATGCAATGGCCAAATATACCCATGGGTCTATTTGTACCATAGGTCTATTTGTTTGTTTTTGTACCTCATATGAAGGATTAATGGCAGCTCCAGTAGAGATCCTTGGTGTGCATCTGCCCCATGTTTGTTAAAGTGAGCAGATACTGTATTTCCTGCTGCTGTTTGGAATAATGAATATATTTTGGAATAATGAATATATATATGTCAGCTCTAGCAAAACCCCAGAGAAAAGTTCCTGGGTAACGTTTGGGCTGCCCTACAGTGGAGGAAAGCCCTCAGATAAAGGTGGTCAGCTTACTTTTGGACTGTGACCCGTATGTTACATACAGAACAGCGCTGTTTGCAAAAGCGGCCAGAAACATTTGTGCTAATTTCCTGAGAACCATCATGATCAATTTCGCAGGAGACTCCCAGATATGAAGGGCCTCTTATTATTTTATATGGCTGTGATTTTATCATGATTTTACTTGATCATATTTGTACTATAAACAATTGTGATGGCCTTTAGCCAACACAATAAACTTGAACTTGAAACTTGAGTTAGTTGCGTGCCATTCAGTCAACAACTCTATTCTACATATCTAGAGTGCACAGAAGTGGCTTACCATTCCCTTCCTCTAGAGGCACCCTGAGACTTTGCAGCTTGCCCAAGCCCACACAGGCTGGCTCTACTTTTCAGGAAGCCCAGTGGGGAAATCAAACTCCTAACCCCTGGCTGTGCATTCAGATACCTAAACTACTGAGGCAGCCAGCCAGCTGTGCACTAACAGATACCAAAGGTACCTCAGATTACTGGACTAGTGGACTTTCCAAAGAGTCTCTTCTCAAGGTGGGCATGTTCCCCTGACCAGCAGATGGTGGAGGCCTTCCTATTAAAAAGTGGCATGCTTGGAAGAATTGTTCAGGGATTCAATAGTGGCTGGAGGAGTCTGAGAACTGCAGCCAAGGGCTCTTTTTCAACTTCTGGCTTAAACGTGCAGACCTTACGATAACCACATTAGCCTGATTTTTTGACTCCTCTCTTTCTTTTCCTTCTCTCTCTCTCTCTCTCTTTGTACTCTCCAGTATTGGTGTGATAACAGATCAAGAAAACTTGAAAACTTGCATGCTTTGCTCACTTTTTGGTGGCCTAAGCAATCGTACTGACCATCTGAGGATGATTTTTTAAAGTCCTGTAAAGACTACTTTGTTTGAGAGAGGCCCTGTAGATATTTCACAAAGCACCAATGTCACAATGTCAAAAGAAGCCCCACAGGGTACCACACATTGCCACCCATTTGCAGGGCGGCCAGCTTGGAGTAAAGTTTGCAATCACGGCTGCCATCTAGTGGGCGACCCTAACAGTCAAAATCTTTCTGTGATGAATTTGGAAGCTCCTTTCCATTTTCTCTCTTAATAACTAAATAGTGTAATGGAAGTATGTGATAATAAATTCCCATGTCTTAAAACAGTTCAAGATTTTTTTTAAAAAAAAAAGTTTAATAAGTCTTTGAATTTGATTGACTGTAACATTTAAATTGCACTTCTATTTTAACAACCTCTGCAAACAAACAGTTAATGATGTCCTTTTTTCCCCTCTATTTGCCTCTTCTATTACGTTTATTTTATGTAATACTGTTTTATATATATTTATTGTTCTATTTTATGTTGTTAGCCGCCTAGAGTGGTCTTAACCAACCAGATAGGCGGGATATAAAATAAATAAATAAATAAATAAATAAAATATTTTCTGCCGATTAGAAATATTTTTGGAAGGCATTATATGCACTGATGGCCCAGCACGTATAAACATGTTTACTTGTCTGTCCATTGAGCTACCCACCTATCAGTGACTGAGAACAATGTCAGATGTGGGAACTCATGAGTTTTTTTTTGTGTCTGTCAAAGTGGGGTTTATTTTCATTACAGTGCACCTCTCACCAAAAAGTAGGGGTTGCATTGTATTGAGGGCTATATGTACACAGTAGGCAGAAATTCAAAAGCCAGCACTTCCTCCCAAAACCTGGGATGCAGTAAAGGGGAAAAGCTCTAACTTGCTGAACTTCTGGCTGGAGTTTTAGTTATGGAAAAAAACACGGAAGGCCAAACTGGCAGCGCCAGTCTCGGCCCTGATGCTACTACCGCCTAAGTAACTAAATCACAGCCAAAGTTCTCCTAGAAAACTCTTAAAATTCTCCAGCAAACCATCCCATTCTCTTGCATGCTGATCTGCTGCCAAGGTAGTAACATGGGGAACTGTTTTTCAATTACCGGATCAATTCCAAAAGGATAGGGGTTTCCAGAATATACTCCCGACAATTTGGCGTTCAACTGGAATACCCCACCTCCGTGCATATCACTCTCCCTGTGAAAGAAGATTGAAACATGAAATGCTCAGGCTGACCCCAGGATAGAGAGATACACTTTCATTCCTGCTTAATAATTAAAAACCAACCATGGTGATAATCAGCCACAAACAATTGCCTCCAATAACTGTTCAGCCTCCAATATACAGGATTAATTTTAAAAAAACCATACGTGTCATATCCAAGACAATTCAGAATAATGATGCCCAAGGAAGTTTGGTAATCACTAGTTTCTCCGCTCTTTTCCAATGCCAAGGCTATTTCTATGGCCTCCCAGCAACTCCACTAGTTTCCATAAAAACCAGTTTAAAATGTTCTGGGCAGGGACATTTTCTCAGAAAGTCCTCCTGTTCCCCCCAACATGGTAATTTTATCATTTTTGAGGAGCTAGCAGTTCCCCTGGGAGACTCATACCACCAGGTGTTACATACAGCACTGATGTTACCTGTCTGTCATGGGGTTGGAGGGAAAGTTCCATCCTATGGAGAGTGGAAGGCGGGACATCAGGAGGAGGGGCTGTACTGTATAAATATGTGATGCCTGTGTGGTGAGAGTGAGACACACTGAGGAGATGCTGAGAGACACTGGGTTGTGACGAAGCAGCAGCAGGGAAGAAGAAGCTGTTGTGGGAGTCTGTGTGTCAGACAGGGTACTACTGTGTGTCAGAGTACCAACCTGATAGGTTCAGGTGTCTGTTGGTTAGCCAGAACTGATAGGTTCAGGGTCTGTGCTTCAAGTTAAGGGTTCTGGGTGAACCAAACTGTATGCTTGTATGAGTGAGAATAAGCCACGTTACTTTACCTATTCACCTGATTGTTTATTTTTCCCTGTGTGTATTTAAAATAAACCTTATTCTTTTTATTGTTTGAAAAATCCATCCCTGGTCTGTGTGACTTCTTAAAGGGAATGGTTGGTGGCAGCTTAGTGTAACTGTGTGACATATCCCAGTAGGTCTGGGTTTGTCACACCAGGTTTTTAAAATTTAAAAAACTGACCACTAGAGGGCAAAAAAGGGCTTTTCCTTTTTTAAAAAACACTGATTTAAATACATGTGGCAGTTCATAAGAAGCCACTGTAGCAACTTTTATAGTATATAACCATGTTTTTCAAACCAGTAACAACCTTTGGGCTGCTGACAAATCTGAAAAATGATCCTTAGCCTTGCTGAGATTGCTCCCCTGTACTATTTCATCATTGGCTCCTAATGTGGGGCAGGGAAATAAAGAAGGCTGTGCTATCATGAGCTAAGTTACTACAGGATATTATGGAAAGAACAGGGCTGCCCTGGATATGTGGCTTCTCTTTTCTCAGTCATTAAGTACTTAAGGCAGCCTTTCCCAAGAAATGTTAAGGCACCCTTTAGATAGGTCACACTACAGCACTGATCTTGCTGAAAACTGTATAACCATGCCAGCGGGGGATGCTGAGACTTGTAGTATAATTTGTCTAGAAAGCCCTGGTTTGGGGAAAGCTGCCCTAAACTTGCCTTGATTTAGAATTTGGCCACTTACGTCCATACACCATTGTTGAACATGGGGCGGACGCTCCAGGAAGACCCAAATATATTGAACGATTTGGAGAAGCAGTCATTGTAGATGAAGCCGGTGTAGATGGAGAAGATACTCATGAGCAGGATCAGGTAGCGGCCACTGAAAAACGTGTTCCAAATCTGCACAAGTAGATTACCAAGGTTGAGTCATGAGATCATCAGGGCTAATATACAGTATGTTCAACAGACTACAAGTACATCTCTTCACACTCTCTTATTTTTTTTTTTTGCCTCTGCTGAAGGCTACAGAATAAATGAATTCATTGTCCCCAGACCAAAAAAACACAAAAGCTCTCGTAAAGATATGATAGCACATACATGAATAGCTGCCATACAGAAGAGGTGTAGGATCTGTTCTCAGTCATCCCAGAGCAGAGGACATGCAACAATGGGCTCAAGTTAAAGGAAGCCAGATTTCGATTGAATATCAGGAAAAACCTCCTAAGTGTTAGAGCAGTACAACAATGGAAACAATTACTTCCAGAGGCAGTGGGTGCTCTAACATGGAGGCATTCAAGAGAAATTTAGACAATCACCCCATTGAGCAGAGGATTGGACTTGATGGCCTTATAGGCCTTTTCTAGAGTCATGATTCTGTGTTTCTACAATTCCAAAGGTACAATTCCAGCTAAAACCATCATTTATACAGTTATTATGGTTTGACCCCGAGGGCCCAGCCTCCACTACAGCACCAGAAATCACTCACCTCGTTGTCGCCCTTCTGAGCTAAAAGTGCCTTTTCATTGCTGATCATCCAGAGAGCAAAGGCCAGCATGACAGTGCCATGGCCGCAGTCACCGAACATCACCGCAAACAGAAAGGGGAAAGTAATAATAGTGTAGGGGGCTGTTGGAAGGAGAAACATACATCAGGCATCCCTTAAAAGGAGGCACACAACATACAGTAGTAGCATAAGCAAAAAAATAAAAATACACAGTATTCAAGAGATGTGTTACCATAAGTGCCATTGCCCGATGGTGCTACACAGTTGTCATGAATTTTCTGAGGACAAACTGTGGCGATCAAATACTGGCCCTTATTAATTTTGCAACAAAGACTGCATTTTGAGCAAATTTCGCCAAAGCAGAGAGATGAGCATTTTCTCTACCAGAAATTAGTCCTAATCATTATGATCATTGTTAATTGTCTTCTGGAGACTGGGCACTGCTAATTATAACCAGCAGTTTGGTGAGAAATGCACATTTGTGGATTATACGCTTCACTCCCTTCATTCTCATAAGAACAGCATGCCAGAGAAGAGATTATGTGCCAAATCCACATTGTTAATGTTTTCTTTTTATAAAACATTTGATCTACAAAGACCCAGATGTCATCACATGCCAGCTGTACGAGCCGACATAAGAGGAATCAACGTGGGATAAATGACCCTTGTGTTTCATTTCAAACAAGAAAGATAAAACAGAAATAAACCAGAATGGATTTACCTGGATTCATCTCCCTATAATTTCCAATACCATAGGCATTTACGATGGTCTGGAAACCAGATGTGAACTTATTTGTTCTGTTAAAAGTGGGAGGAGCCATCTGGGTATGAACAGTAGTCAGAATTGGATTAATTGTAGATCCACTACGTTCCTGTGAAAACAGCAATGGGATTAGTAAAAATTACATTTTCTGGACCATAACTCCTCCAGACAGCATGGCTGGTGGTTTTATGCTTCCATCAACAGCCTGCATTCAGAAAAAATAACAGACACAAATTGGGATGGAGTATTTATGTCTGGTCTCTAAAGGCAGAGCAAACAAAGGTTTTGTGTTTCCTAGGAAAGGGCTTGAGTAGATGTACACAAGAAGGAGAAGCTATGATAGAAGATCTCCTGCCAAGAACAAAGTCCTGAGCTCAGGAAACATGATGGCGGGCATGCTGCTTAGGGCACTTTGGGAACTGTAGTAGAAAGTCTTGCATTTTATGCAAAGATTGTGTACTTTTCACAGAAAGTCTTGCATTTTGAACAAAATGCAAAGATTTCAATGCATTTTTTGTGCAAAACCCCCCCACAGATTTGGACTTTTCACTCCTACTTAGGTGAGAAAAATCTTGCATAAAAAGGCCCACTTTTTCTCCAACCGGGTGCCTCAATGTATAAAGACACCCTTTCTTGTCAAAAACAGCAACATTTCTTTATAGTCTTAATATCGTGGGTTTTTTTAATCTGGGAAATGTCTTCTTAGTATGCAATGCGCATCGTCCTATGATATGGGGCAGCACACATACTTTCTCAATTTACAGGTGCTTCAATCTGATTTTAAGGTGTGAGATTCCAAATTATAATTTTAGTAACTGGAGGAGCCAGGTTGGAAGGGGGACATGATATGCCCCTTAAAAAGACAGAGAAATACAGTAATATCCCTGTATCTGCGGGGAATCGTTTCCAAGACCACCCAGCAGATGCTGAAAAACGCAGATAATAACAAATGCTATATATAGCATGATCTCTGGCTCCCTCTAGTGGCCATTTCTGGGAAATTCACTTTTAGAAATAAGTATTTCTAGTATTTTTCTTTTAATATTTTTAAAATATTTTCAAACTGTGGATAAGTAAATCAGTGGATACTGGGGGGTCCTACTTTATTGCTCTGCACATCAGTGTGGATGCTTGAGACAGGGAAGTCTATTTGTGTAGGCCTCTTTACACAGACATCTGTGTGGCTAGAAGCCCTCTGGGTCACACAGATTTTCCCATCTCAAGCATCCACACTAATATGTGAATAAGTGGATATGGGGTGCCCATGAATCACTCCCAGACCCTATAAACTCACACTGTCCTCCTCATGAAAAATGTGAAGAGGATTTAGATCTTCAGCTGTTTAGATAATAAAAGCAGCCCCTTCCACAAACAGAAAGCTCCGCCACGCATAGCATAGTGAGGCTGAGAGGAAAGAGAAATGGCAAAAGCAGACAACCAAAAACCAAAGCAAGCACTAAACAAAATAACTCACTGAAAAGAGGTATTGTCAGCACAGCCTAGAGATTATCTATTTGGTTCTCAACATGCCTCCCCGAAGTTCTTTCATTTGTTTTGTAAACTTTCAAAACTTGGCTAGCTGTCCTCACTCCCCTTCCCCCTGTTCCAAAGACTTTCTGCCTATGAATCATCCAATAATGGCTTCATTTAGAGATCCGAGTGGAAAAGGGTGGTAATGCTCTGGCTAGAGGGAGGCCCCATGCAGCCTGCAGTTTTCTTTTGTCGTTGTCACCAGTCAGAGACTGGAGATAACAGGACATTTAAAGACTGATGTGCTGTTGTATGAAACTTAAAGGAAAGCAGGAAAAGTGGGTTCAGACTGGAGGCTTTTTGTATCTTCCAAGGAAGAAAAGCTTAATTCCAAAAGATGTTAAGCAATTTATGAGTCATCAGTGGAGGCTTTCTAAATTTGTTTGTTTTGGCCTTCCAACTTCCAGCATCACCTCTTAGCAAAAGAATTTGGAAGTAGCTGCCATGGAGGTATGTCTATCCCCTTTTCACTCTCTAACTTCGTTCAGACTGGAGGCTTTTTGTATCTTCCAAGGAAGAAAAGCTTAATTCCAAAAGATGTTAAGCAATTTATGAGTCATCAGTGGAGGCTTTCTAAATTTGTTTGTTTTGGCCTTCCAACTTCCAGCATCACCTCTTAGCAAAAGAATTTGGAAGTAGCTGCCATGGAGGTATGTTTATCCCCTTTTCACTCTCTAACTTCTACTCCCTCCTGTACCTATTCTTAGACTGATACTCTTATGGTCCCCCTATCAATCTCACTTTCTTTTCCTGTTTCCTTTGAGTGGCAAACATACAGTTCTCCTCTCCCATGTGCCTTCTAGGGCCTATCTATCTATCTATCTATCTATCTATCTATCTATCTATCTATCTATCTATCTATCTATCTATCTATCTATCTATCTATCTATCTATCTATCTATCTATCTATCTATCTATCTATCTATCTATATCTAGTTTGGATTAGGATTTAGGCTTTTCTATCTGGAAAGCATATTCCTTAATAAAGATTAGTTGCTCATCATAAATGCTTCTCCTGCTTTATTGTGGATCAAACATCCATGTGTCTACACAACAACTATAGGGAGAGAAATCTTAATATTTCTTCTCTCTCACCCTGTGAACCTTCACAGCAGTCTTTATTTATTTATGTATTTATCCTCCTAACATCTCAGCAGTTGCAATCCAAGACAACCAGAAGGTGCTGATCTTCTGTGAACTAACAATGGATCTTATGAGTTTCAGACTGGAGTTTTTCCCAACCCTTCCCAGAAATGCTAGGAACAGAATATGGGACTTTCTGCATATAAAGCATGTGCTTCTGTATTCAGCTACAGCCAATGCATGCTGAGGAAGATCATGTGGAAACTAGCTATGCAATTCCCAGTTCAGAAACTTACCATCCCTTGATTCAGAGCTCTTTTGATCCTGCCTGTATCTGCCACTGGGAACCAGATCTCGGCAATGACACACTGCTGGGTGACATCAATGTTGCAAGAATTCAGGATATGATAGATGGCCTTCATTTTTTTCACCTTGATCCCCCAGCTCCACAGGTTAGCAGATGCTTCTTTCAATAGGCTTTGGCGATGGGATTCCGTTTGGGTGATTACCTATACAAAAATAACCAGTCAGGCTGATTTAGTTGCCAAATGATCTGTACAAGGAAGGTGGAATAATTACAGTGGGAAAACCTGGGGCAATTTTGCATAGACCATAGCTCCCAGAACACCAGGCTTTCTCCCACTCATGGCGTTATTTTGACTTTATCAAACCGTCCTTTAAAACTACTTACAAATTTTATCCACCCTTACTAAATTAAGAGGGGATGATGGGATTTGTATTGCAACACAAGTGAAGTTCATCTGGTTGAGGAAGGCTGCTTTAACTCAAAAGTTCTGCAAATATTGTGGCTGGGTATCCTGGGATACGTAATTCAAAAGAGTCAATTTTCAAAGCTCTGATGCCTGGTCCCCCCTATGGGCACAAACAAAGACCACCTACTGTGTTCAAGTCCTCAATTCTTGTGTTCACACCAGTGGCCATCTCTCGACGTTCGGCAGCTGATTCTGGGCAGGGGTAGACCGTGGCACGGAACCTAGTGGGTGAAGGAAACAAAAGGGGGCAGCCCAAACATTTTACAAACGTGTATCAATCTTCACTCCAAGCCCAACTCTGAAATGGTAAGTCTGATAAAAGAGTCATAAACAAATTAATAAATAAGCCTAGTCCTTTTGCATCAGTATATCACCTTCATGTGTTTACAACATTTTAAACTGAATGTTTTCATCAGGCTTGAAAGATCCTTCTTATTTACTGCTGCCCCCAAAATCTTTGCACTTTTCTCCACTTTACTGTAGCAGTGCAGCTTTAATCTCCTAATTGCAATACCGGCAGTGCGTTTGCATACAGGCCGCCAGTTTTATCCTGATGGCGCACACATCTAGGGCAGCCTAGAGAGACCTCCATGGAGCCTTCAGGTCGATACACCTGCTGCATCCAGGCACCCACAAGTGAACAATGAGTGGGGTGCAGAAAGATCAATCGTTTTCTGTTCCGCTTTCCTTTTAAATAAATTCCATACGTGTCAATTTGCCATTTGTGGAACTGGCAGAGCGACACGGTTATTTACTAATAAGGGACAACTTGTAGCAAAAATAAAGCAAAATAAATAAAGTATCATAATTGGTGCATAACTATATGTGGAGTCGCACCGCTCTGTCAAACCTCTAATTACTGCAAAGTCTTAGCTGACTGCAATAACATGTATAATGAGCCAGTTTCTGCAAGGAAAAAACACAGCACACTACAACTCTGAACCAGCGATGGATTCAGACCGATTTGCTGGCATTCAGGACTCATGGAAGTCACTGTGAAAATTCCATAGGGAATAAAACACAACTAAGATAAAGCCAAAGGATACATTATACGTGACACGTCATTAGTGCTGAAATCACATTGTTTTTCCAGAGATGTGATTTGAGTAGACTTTTGTGTTTGAGAAACTAATTTGCAAATAAAGACCATGCTGAGGTCCTGAAGACCAAGAAGAAAACAAAATAAGCTAATCTGCGGTCTGGAGGGAAGTAGAGAAAAGTTCCTGTTGTAACAATCACACACAGTGAGCACTTAAGGACTTCCCTCTTCTAAAGAAGTGTTATCAGAAATGCACAGTTCAGCCCAGTCATTGGATCCAATCCCATGTTAACTCTGGTGCCTACATCTGTACAGGCTGACAGATGTGAATAGCTCCATAATCTCCAAACTGAAAAATGAATGTCCAAACCAAAAAGAGAAGCAGGAATGGTTTGGACGTGTTGTAATATACAGAGCAGGCTGGCAGATTTCTCCCCCAAACACCATGGTTCCCAACCAATACAACACCTTATAAACTAGAAACAAAGTACTGTTTTCTCAACAGTTTTTTCTTGTTTACCCATCACAGATCTTCTTGATTTTCTGCCGGAGCTGTTCTCCTTGATAGAAAATAATGAATACATTCTTTTTCATCTCTTCTTTCTGAAGAAGGAAAAACATGATGTAAGTATAGAATTTTTACAAAAGCAATCAACCAGCCAATCAAAGAGTGCACAGGCTGTTAAATAGTACTACATATATGGTATACATATAGTACAAGTGACAAAATTGAAAACCCTTCACACCTACAGTGACTGGGTCTTCCAGAAGAGTATCCATTTCACTGAACCTCAAGTAGATGTTCCCACGGCAGGCTCTCCAAAGCAAGCGTTCAAATGGCACCATCCTTTCCCTCTTGATCACACCAGCTATGAATCTGTGGAACACACAACGTGATAAATATAGGAGAGGATTAATCTTCAAGCACTGTGCTATAGGCTGTCTTTCCAAAATTCCACATATATACAAAGACAGATTTGTGGTGTATGTTTTTTAAAAAGGAGAGAGAAATGGAATATGTGTCTATTTGGTCTTAGAACTGGTTTGCATATAGATGTACATCAATTGATGCTGCCTGGCTCACATACTCAGTGCTCAAATTTACTATCCTTTTCTTATGCTGACAGCAAGACATTGTGGCTCAAATCATGTTGTTATAACTACACCTGTAGAAGGGAGATGACATTAATAGCACAGAGAGATTTTCAGTAATTAAAGATTCCCCACTTTTCTCCCACTATTTGTCCAACTTGTGAATAATCAGTTTCATTGTGTGGAAGCTGTGGGAGTCACAGGACAGAAGGAGGAGGTTTTTCATTATTAGAAATCTCCCCCTGCTGGTAACGTCATCCGGTGGTGGTGATTTCTGATAATGAAAGATTTCCACCTTTCATCCTGTGGTTGCCATCATTTTCACGTGATGAAACATAAATTGGACAAGCTGTGGGAAATGAATGGGGGGGGGGGAGATACAGAAAATCTCCCTCTGCTGCTAACAACATCACCCTTCCACAGGCAGAAGGATTTCAGCCAATGTGTCTTGACACTTATATTTAAAAACTATGATTTGATTGTATCCGTGTCCTGCTTTTCTGCTAAAAAATAGTAAGATTCTTCTGGTACTATAAAGGCTAACCAATGTTATTTAACATATATTTTGTAGACTGTTGCCCACTTCATCAGATACAGAGAATATCTTTAGCAGGCATATATTATACATATGCTAGAGCATGGTCTAATAAAAAAACAATGCTTCATGTATCTAATAAAATAGACCACAGTCTACAAAAGCTGCAGAGCTAGAGTTCAGGAGTTGGATTTCCCCACTGTGCCTCCCAGGAGTACAGCCAGCCTATGTAGCCTTGGGCAAGCTGCACAGTCGTAGGATCCCCCCAAGAATAGCAAACCACTTCTGAGTTCTCATTAATTAGAAAACCTTGGAAAGATTTGCTGCAAGTCAGAATTGACTTGGTGGCACGTAACTATTGCTATGATGAAGGCAGCAGACCTCTAGGTTAGGAATGGTTATGGTACAGGGTGGGGGTTCTTAACTACATTTGGCAGCCTTCAGCCTTGAGAGACTATGGTAATGTGCTCTGAATAGAGGACTTGGAACAGCATCTGGTGTGGCTGAGAAGGCCAATTCGAGAGTGACAATCCCTTACACAATGAGGACAAACACAATCTGTCCCCTGTCCAGCTCCCTGATTTTGCTGCTTTCGGGACTGCCTCTTTGCCTCGGCCTGCTGGACAAGGGTCTCTTCAAATTGGGAGAGGCCGTGCTGCACTGCCTGCCTCCAGGCTGAGCACTCAGATGTCAAGGTTTCCCATCTGTTGAGGTCCATTCCTAAGGCCTTCAGATCCTGCTTGCAGATATCCTTGTATCGCAGCTGTGGTCTCCCTCTGGGGTGATTTCCCTGCACTAATTCTCCATATAGGAAAACTTTTTGAATCTGATCATCAGCCATTCTCACGACATGCCCGAGCCAATGTAGACATTGCTGTTTCAATAATGTATACATGCTAAAAATTCCAGCTCGTTCTAGGAATACTCTGTTTGGAACTTTGTCCTGCCAGGTGATACCAAAAATGTGTTGGAGACAACGCATATGGAAGGTGTTCAGCTTCCTCTCCTACCATGCACGAAGGGTCCAGGACTCACTGCAGTACAAGAGTGTGCTCAGGACACAGGCTCTATAGACCTGGATTTTAGTGTATGCCGCCAGCTTCTTATTAAGCTCTTTGTGAGTCTAGAGAACATGGTAGCTGCTTTGCCAATGCATTTATCCAGCTCGACATCTAGGGAGAGAGTGTCAGAGATTGTTGAGCCAAGGTGCACAAAGTCATGAACCACCTCCAGTTGTTGCGTGGAGATGGTAACAGAGGAAGTGAGTCCACGCCCTGGCACATGACTTGTGTTTTCTTCAGGCTGATAGTTAGTCCAAAGTCTTGGCAGGTCTTGCTAAAACGATTTATGAGTTGTTGGAGGTCTTCAGCAAAAATGATCCCAAACGGGGTCGGCTGGAGGACACAGGCCTGTTTCACTCCACTTCAGATGTCAAAGAGATCTGATGTTGAACCATCAAAAACTACAGTGCCCTTCAGGACCTGATGATGTTAAGGAGTCGAGGTGGACATCCAATCTTGGGAAGTATTTTAAAAAGGCCATCCCGGCTAAACAAATCAAAGGCCTTTGTGAGATCTATGAAGGCCACAAAGAGTGGCTCTTGTTTTTCCCTGCATTTCTCCTGCAACTGTCTGAGGGAGAATGCCATGTCAGTGGTGGATCTATTAGCTTGAAATCTACACTGTGATTCTGGATAGACTCTGTCTGCAAGCACCTGGAGTCTCTTCAGCACAACACGGGCAAGCAGCTTCCCTACAACGCTGAGAAGAGAGATACCACGGTAGTTATGGCAGTCATCCTTGTCTCCTTTGTTCTTATACAATGTGACAATGTTTACATCCTTCATGTCCTGTGGTACTCCATCTTCCCTCCAGCAAAGACAAAACATAGAGCTCGGTGGTGATGATCTCTTTACAGCACTTCAGGGTTCTTAAGCAATGGTCCACCAATGGGTTCTTAAGTAATGGTCCACCAAAGGCTGTGGATTTCATCCAGCAGAACCTTTGACCACTGGTCAGGCAGGCTGAAGCTTCTGCAAGCTGAAGTCCAACACTTAGGTTGTGAACCACTGGATCAGAGCAAAGCAAGATGCCCCTTTGAGGTGTCTGCCATTTAGGTTGAAGAATATTAGCATGACATGCCCTCGCCATGCTTTAACACCAGTGCCTAGGCAATCAGATCATTTAGTCAGCTATTCAAAAAAACACAAGTATATCGGGGGTTTTTAAACCTGTTACTTTCCAGTTCTTTGAGAAACTGAGTGCTAAACTCAGACGTTAGTCATGCTTTTAGAAATTTAGTCATGCTCTTCTTCCATAACTTTTGTAGTTAAAAGGAATCCAGCTTCTTTTGGGCAGAATTTGGTAGTTTTCGTGTGTCTGGGTATTGCTTTATTTCCTTCTTCAGGGCAGCACTTGTATTCGTTTGATTCAGTAGTTATACTAGTTTAATGCCAATAGTTTAATACTTTTATTAGTTTAATCTCATGACTTCCTCACCCTAAAGAATCTCAGAAATTACAGTTTGGTTTGAACATCACAAATTCCTAATGTGATTTGTTTCATTTATAATTCAAATTCCCAGAATTTCCTCCAGAAAGGATATCACTGTAATAACACACATCAGTGTGGAAAAACATATTTAACGATAGCTCCCCGGATGCCCTGAGTAACATGACCTCTAGCCATGTTGGCTGGCAATTGTGGATTATGGTCCTAAAAAGTAACCCTTCCAAGCTTCGGACTGCCTGTTTGATACCAGTTTCATGCTGCATCCTAAGGCATCTTTTCACTCCATAAGACGCACCTTTCCATAAGACGCACCAATTTTTAGGAGAAGAAAACAGGAAAATATAATCTGTTTTCTTCGCTTCATAAGACGCACAGACTTTCCACCCCCCTGTTTTGTGGGGGGAAAGTGTGTCTTATGGTGCAAAAAATACGGTAGTTTGGTGAAAAACTTAAGAGTCCTCTTTTACAGTTCAGGGGAGGGCACTAGAAGTCTCTAGGAGGAAATTCTCAGCAAACTATAGATGCCAGAATTCCATGGGATGAAATGCTATCCAACGCTGCCAAAATGTCAATAGTGGTAGCACAGACACTTTTTAGTTCTGACTTTGTGATACAGATAGCCTAGAAAAGACAGAATCCAGTCACATAACTAGATAACCAAAAGGAAGTCCTCCCAAGCCATTCTGGACCAAACCAGAAGAACTGCCCTTCATTCCAGTAGGGGATCCTGAGAAATGATCCCGGTGCATTATGTGCTTTGTTTCTGGAGTGGGGACTGTGCAGAATTAGATTCCTTCATGAGACTATATGAATGGAAGTAATACTAACCCAAGCTTGGCAGCAACTGCTGCAGGGGTGCTTCTTAACTCTAAGAGCCCAGAGGTGTCTTCATTGAAGAAATCATCAGGCAGGTTGGTTTCCGTCTGGGAATAGGAATGACACATGTCTTACAGGTCCGTTTTGAAAAAAAAACATCAGGACCAAAAGCAGTCATTGCATCCTTCTGTGGCTAATGCAGCTCTGTATCTAGCCTGGACATGTAATCTGGGCTACTTGAGAATGACTCTTCCCAGAGACTTGGGAATTATACAGCTAGGAATTATTATTGGATGGACAAGGGCAGGAGTGGGAAACCTTCGGACTACCCTCCCCATGAGCACCACTCTCAGGGAGTTGTGGGGGATGCCAGCCAAAATATCTGGAGAACCCCTGGACTAGAGCCAGGCTTACTATGAGGCAGAAAGGCATGACTGCCTCAAGGCATTTCAGGAAAAGGCCCCTGATAATCAATGATAATTGCTAATTTTTTTTACTGTCAATCCAAGAGCACGGTACTTATGGGGATGCTGCACTTTTGAGACCCGGAACAATTTGACTGGTCTTATATATTTTGGTCCTTGATGTGTTTGGTCGCACTTTTGAGACCCGGAACAATTTGACTGATCTTATATATTATGGTCCTTGATGTGGAGCGCGAGCCATTTACTGCAAGACGCAGGGGGGGAATTAACCCTTCCCTTCCCAGCCACAAACGGAGCTCCAGCCACCCTCGTACAACAGATGTGGGAAGGGAAGAAACACCGGCTGCCTCGCTTGGCTGTTGCTGCTCAAGAGTTCTGTCTATGTCGTCTTCATTTTCTCTTAAGCATATAATAACTGTGGAGGAGAAAGAGGTTGATGAAGGGTCTGGGGGTGGTGGGGGGCAGGGAAGATACCCTAGAGAGACTTAATGAAGATATACCAAGTGGAGGTGGAACTCCGAGAGGAGCCCAAGCCATCAGGAGACTAGGACTACAGATATAAGGAAGGCCCCTGGACGTGGATCCTGGTGCAGCTCCAGGTCCCTCGGGATGAAGCAGACCATCGCCCTTAACTCATGCCCACCTTCTCAACCCTTGTACTGGGGATAGTGGGAACAAAGGGAGAGTAGACATCAAGCTCAAGAAGCCAACCACTACTCAATGGAGATACTGGGTGGAGGCAGTGGCAAAGAGCACGCCGGACTCAGGAGCAAGTGGGATGAAAGGGCAATGGACTGAGATACCATCTCCACTACCCTCACTGCGAGCCTATCACCCATCCTTGCTTCAGGGCCCCAACTCAGTTCAGCAGGGACATTCCCATTAGGGAGAAGTGCACTAGAAACTCTCTTGTTGAAGTTAACTGGGAGGGAGGAGGACATGGACTCTTTGAATCTTGCCATGAATACGTGGGCAGCACCGAGAACTAGTCCGGGCTCAGCCAAGGACTGTTCAGTTGTCAAGTACCACCCTGTTGCAATAAACCCCGTTTTGATTCAACCCACTGTTTTGTTGTCTATGGGTAAAGGAATGGAGCAGGGAACACCCCGCACCATCAACCTGGCCAGAGTCAGTGGGGCGAACAGACAGTGATAAAACCAACCCACAAACTTCTCATTTTCCTTGAAAACCCTATTAGGGCCACTATGAGTCAGATGCAATTTTACTGCACATGACAAACACCCAAATAAGCAACACTTAAAAGGTAGGTACAGGAACCCTACCCTGTATTTCATCTGGTCACCCTACTTAGAATTTTAAGTGAGCGAATACTTACGTATTTCTATTACAAATTCACATCTTGGGAAATTAGGGTACCGATCAGTTTTATCCTGAGGCAACTGGCCCAAACACATTTTTAAAGCATATTCCCTTAGCCCAAAAGTGTATTCTAAGTCTATATCACCTCAAAAAAGTCCTGCGTTTTCTTCAGGAGATGTTTTAGTTCGGTAAGTTCTAGAAAGTTCTGCTTCAATGTCTGCAGGTTCTTGTTGGCTTCCTGCAGCTCTCCTTCCAATTTCTCCAAAACTGCCTGTTTGAAGACAGAGGGTGAAACAAAGACATGTTCAGTTATTCCTCACCGCTGACAAGACAGGATACTACAAAGACGGATTATTACACAGCAAACCATTCAAAACATTTCTCTCGGTGTGTCAGGCAAACTTTCAGGACATATTAAAATCGGTTTCTGAGTATGAATGATTCATGATGAACTATTCAAATTATGTGCAGGCGGTAGAATAAGTAACATGAAACACAACAAATCTTTTTTAACGTCCAGTAAATGAAGAATAAGTAACATGAAACACAACAAATCTCTTTTAACGTCCAGTAAATATAAAGGATAATGAGGAGTTACTATTATGGTTGCTGGGGTTACGTGTGTGCCTTTACAATATTTCTTAACTTTTTAAAAGAGGGAATCAGTTCTTGAGCTGTGACAGGTGCTTCCTCCCTTACCTCCAGACCAAATCATGTGGTGACATTGTGCTTGCTGGATTTGGCTGGGAGAGTTTTCTGGCTCCACATCACCCAAACGAGGCCTCTTCGGCCAAATTCAAATAGATTCATTCATGCTTTGGTTCAGAACAGATCTGTTTCTCATCCCTGAGCAAATGTGCTTTCTTATGCTCAGTGCTCTAAAATCTCTCCTCTTGGGCTCCTTTTCCCATGAAAGCTGACTGGATCCTTTCCCTTCCCACCCCTCTAGCTGTGTCAGCACGAAGTCACATTAAGGCAAATGTGTATTTCTCCTTCTTACACCATTCGTCCCTCAAGGCACACCATTTTTTCAATGTTATCTACCTGAATCCTAAGGCGTGCAAACTAATTTGCGCTATTGCCTGGCTGACTTATCACAAACCAAAGCCAAATGTGGGCTGAGGCAAGCAAGCACTTGTTAGAATAAACAGATTGTCTTTGCATCCTCAGGTTGAACTCCTTTTAGATGGGGGATCAGAGCCTTAAGTCATGTGGCCTTGCAAGTCTCCAAAACCTCCACCTACTTTTCTCAGCTTGGAAAAGTAATTTTTTTAAGACTGCAAGTCCCAGAGTCATTTAGCCTGCATTGTTCATCAGACTCATGTCCTAACAAAGACATTTTCCCTGTTTATTACTTTTGTATTTATTTCTACATGTATTAATACTGCCCTGCATCTCTAATAAGAAGTATATTGTATTCTTGAAGGCTTTCACGGCCAGGATCTGATGGTTGTTGTGGGTTTTTTGGGCTGTTTGGCCATTGGAAAACCTCTTGAAAGCCACACTTTTGGTAAAAATGCAGCCACCAACCCCAAGGCTGCTGCTTGCCCGTGGTGTACAATCACCATGCGTACATGGTAATCCTGAATGTCTTACCTCTAAGTCAATCATTTCCCGAGGTAGTGGCGTCTCGGGATATTTTCCAGGCTTATGAAGCTGTATCTCGTCACCCATCTCAATCTCTAGAAAACCTATAAGCAAACCAAGAAGCAACATGTGACCTGATTTTCACATTTAAGATAGCATGGTATGGTCTTGAAGACAGATATATAATGGCAAGTTCAGAAGTGTAGGTGCTTCTGAGGAGAATCCACAAAGCCAGCCAAACCCCCCACCACCACCATAAAGAGTGTCTAAAAATATAAGCAGCTTGGGCTGTCCGTATCACAAAATGAGGAACAGTTCTTTTGCGAGGTTTATGACTCTTAATTGCTCATTAAAGACCAAACCACCCTCGGCTGTGTTGCATTATAATGGAGTACCTTGCAGCAATACAATATCCCTGAAAAAAAAATCATTTTCTCACTTGACTACTTGGAGGATCACATATAAACTCAGGATGTCTGGATTTATATGTGACATGGATACCAGTCCATAACATCAAGAAGATACTGGAGCTCCAGCCTTGAGAACCCTGACTCCACTACACCACGGACTGCAAGCCAGAGCTTTTAATCTGCTCATTTTTTAATAACACAAAATCATTCCCCACTTAGTTTTACTAAAATAAAAAAGGTCAGCAAAAAGCAAATAGATAAAAAGGACATGAAATGAAATCTACTTACGAAGGATCCTTTCCAAAGATTCACATCTTCGGACTTCATTCACAAACTTTCTTTGGAAGCTGTTCACATTTACATTCAACTAAACAAAATATATGACAAAAGAAAAAAAACAAGTTTATGCCGTAAAGGATAGATATTATAGTTCTTTCAATTTAGACTGATAAAATCCTGAAGACATTTTGCGATTTGTCATCACAGCTTTGGTTCAGACTATGATTTGGGTGAGGATGTTCTATTCGTTCTTCATCTGAATCCATCAACGTTTTCAAACGGTAAATGTGGGGGAAAATAAGTAGAACCACTTCCTCTAGTAGCTGTTCTGCTGATGAGACAAGGTGACGAACCAAACCAGCATCTTGGCCAGGTAGGGCTGACACCTTTTAAACAGAATCCTATAAAGCCAAATTAGTCCACAAAGTCAAGACAAAACTAAGATATAATAAAGGATAGAAATTTATAATTCATTGGCTCGTTATAGCTTTTCCCTCTGATACGACATTTACAGTGAGAGTGGTTTGTAAAGGCATCTTGATATCCATCCACCAAAGAACTAGAATTTGAGAAAGATGAAATTGGACCAACTAATGATGGGACTTTTAAAAGGGAAAAGCATGCTTTTTTTTGTGGGGCCTACAATTCAGTGTGGTATCCATTGGTTCTTTCTTAGTATTGCATCTAAAATGAGCCTCTGGCTTCACAACTGGAGGCATTATTCCTTACTTCTGCACCCTGTTTTTGAAGGGAGTCATTACACTGAATTAATGTGGGAAACAGGGTTTACTGACAGGGTTTCATATCCTCGGAAGGGAGTAGCCCATCATCAGAAACTTTTGGCACTGGGAACATTGCAAATCCTGGAATAGTTATTTTTTGCCTTCCAGTTCCAAGAATCTATTGATCAGCATGGCCAATGGCCACGCAGGTCAGGGGATCCTGAGAGCTGTGGTCCATCAAAGTAATTTTCCCAAGCTGTGAATTACATTGATTTAGTTCTTGGTTTTGCATGCAACTGACACTATTCTCACTGGCCCTTAGAAGCATATCCGGGCTCCCTTCAACCCAATGACTTCCAAATGCCTGTTGGAGTTATTGCAACCTCACATGCAGCCTTTAGTAGATTTGGCCGGGAGGGGGCCTTCCTGGGCTGAAGTAACTGACACTCTGTCCTGCACTGGTCTATTGTTCCTTCCTGCCTCTGATTTCAAAGAGAGTCTCACCTCTCTGCTTTTGATCTTTTCCCCTCTGAAGAGCTGTTGGAACCAGTGAGTTTGTTGAAGTCTGTTGTTGAAAGCAGCCATGTTTGTTAGCTTGTTGTTTGACCTGTTCAATTGTAGGTAATGACATATTTTCATTCTTTCTCCTGCTAATGTCTCTGAGTTAAGTGCCAGTTGATGAGAAAAGGAGTGTACTACTCTGGGGAAGCTGAAAATATTCTGCTCTGTGAATCCCTGCACTTCTGCTGTGCCGCTAGAGGGATTTAACCAAAAACTCAAAAGTCTGCAACAATGGCTACTCACATCTCTAAACTGAACCAGACCAAGCTCGCCAAGTTCGGACACACAGCAATATGCCGACTCCACCTGGAGGAAAAGTTGAGTCAGGCACATCTCTTCACTCCGGAACACAGATGCCATCTTGCACGTTCTTCTGCAGGAAGACATTTGGAGAAATATTGTCAATATTGCAAGATTTCTCAGGAAAGCTTCAGGCAGGATTTCCTCCCCTTCAAAGGGGGAGTTTTATCAGTGTAGGAAAAGCCACACAAATTGCATGTGAGTGGTGTGGAAGTGTTCATTTCCCCAGAAATAAATGAAATGGGAAGCCTGTGATAAATACCACATTTCCAAAATCCAACTAGAGTTGCTGCGGAAGTCTATGTGGTTGCAATACCAAAGAGCAGTTCCCACTAAATTTAGTATGGTTTGCTACTGAATGTGAGGATGGATACTTAGGGATCAACAGAAGAGGTGATCTATCAAAAGGACAAAAAGAGGGCTGGCATAAGTTGTGCATATTCTAATGTGTAACTGTAGCTGCAGATTGAAAACTAAGCACAATATTGTGAAGAGAAATACAGTAGGACCCCCTTACCCATGAGATCAGTATCGGCTGATTCACTTATTCACAGTCTGAAAATATTAAAAATATTAAAAGAAAAATCCCCAAAATTTATATTTCTAATTATGAAGTTACCAGAATTGGCCACCTTCCATGAGGACTGATAGCAATGCTCCATAAAGGTATTATGACACATTCACGTCAAAGGATTGCTCAAGGTATGAATTATTCACCTGGCCTAGATGCCTTTAAAAGGAGATTGGACAGATTCCTGGAGGAAAAGTCCATCACAGGTTACAAGCCATGATGGGGATGTATAATTCTCAAGCTTAGAAGGAAGGGAACTCCAAATGCCAGATGCAGGGGAGGGGTATCAGGAGACAGGTATCTAAGTACAGTGGTGCCTCACATAGCGAGGTTAATCCATTCCAGATTAACCTTCGCTATGCGAAAACATCGCTCAACGGAAGAAAAAACCCCATTAAAACGCATTAAACTTGGTTTAATGCGTTCCAATGGGCCCTAAACTTACCGTTGAGCGAAGCTTCTCCATAGGGGCGGCCATTTTCGGGCCCTCGCAAAGCGAGGGCGCGGCGGGAAAAGTTGCGGCGGCCATTTTGGAACCGCCGATCAGCTGTTTTCCCCCGCTTCGTTGTGCGAAAATTGCTAAGCGAATCGCTTAGCGATCATCGCACAGCAAAAAAACGCCATAGGGGCCATCGCTGAGCGAATGCTCCAGCGATGGCCCGGAACCCCTCGCTATGTGAATTCATCGCTCAATGGAGCAATCGCTAAGCGAGGCACCACTGTATCTCATGTGCTCCCAGAGGCATCTGGTGGGGCCATTGTAAGATATAGGAAGCTGGACTAGATGGGCCCTTGGCCTGACCCAGCAGGGCTCTTCTTATGTTCTTATGTAATGTTGTTCAGCACTTCAGAAAATTCTAGAAGAATCTGTAAGGAAATCCATTTTTCCACATAAAGAAGACAGTGATGCTCTTCCAAAGCAACCAACCAGCAAATGAAGGAAGGAAGTACAAACACAGTATCTAACATTTACTATATAAGCCTAATTGAAAAACATTTTTAAAACATTTCTTCAGACATAAGAGTGGGAATACAGAGACTCCATGGTAAAACATTCATGCAGGGCTCAAAGATAAAGGGGGCAGTGGTGTTTGGTAGACTCAATCTCTAGTAATGATTTAAGACCCCTGCTAGGTATTCAGTACTGTTACTTTGAAGTTTTGTTCTGTAAACAGCAACAATTAGTGATCAAAGGGAAGAAAAGCTGAAACCTTTGAAGCGTGTTCTGTAAACAATGTCCAGGCATAAGATAATAAGGGAAGGCTCTTCTGTCAGTCCAACAACCTTCACAGGCATGCTTGGTGGGGACACAAGAGAGGGCCTTCTCTGTGGCTGCTCCCAGACTCTGGAACTCCATCCCACAGGATGCCAGCTTGGCCCCATTTTGGCTGTCCTCCTGGAAGCAGGTTTTTTCCCCCTTCAGGCAGGCTTTCGCTTAGTGATTGCTGGCATGAGAGGTTTCTTTTATTGGATTGTTCTGTTCTGTTTTTTTTTTAAATGTATTTTTACTGTTGATTTTATTTACTGTTTTTAATATAATACTCGTTTAATTCCTCTTTAAATATCTGTATAGTTACTGTTTCTGTCTTTTCAATGTTGCCTTTTAATTGTTTTAAGCTGCCTTGGGTCCTTTTTAACGAGAAAGGTGAGTTAAAAATATTTTAAATCAATAAATTAATAAATAAAATATTGTAATAAACTCTTCTGGACACTAGTCATGGGTTGGGTATGAGGTTAAGAAAGAAAGAAAGAAAGAAAGGTGGCTGTGGTTAGTTTAGAAGGAAAATAATAGCAAATAACAACATAATGATTGTAATATTTCATGTGAAATGCAACTTGAGTCTACCAAACATCATTGTTTCTTTATCTTAAAACCCTGCATGAATGTTTTGTCATGTTATTCCTGTATTCTCGCTCTTGTGTCTGAAGAAGTGGGCATCTTCCATGAATAGTCTTGAACATGGGTTGTTCCAAGTCTTGGGCCAAAATGGTCATCACTGGACTATACTAGCTCGAATGCAGTGACAGAATGGATGAGAGATATATGAGTGAATACACTTGGAGGCATCAGAAAGGGAGTCACCTGAGCCTTCCGTGTCACTGCTCCCAGACTCCGCAACCATAGGAGGCCAGCCTGGCCCCATCTTTGCTATCCTTCTGCAAGCAGGCGAAGACCTTTGTCTTCAGGCATGCTTTCCCTTATTGACTGGCTACCTGAGATGGGATTTTTTTTTTAAATGGCTTGTTGTGCTCTGCTGTTTTTAAATGTGTTTTAGCATTGATTTTATTTACTGTTTTTAATATAATACTCGTTTAATTCCTCTTTAAATATCTGTATAGTTACTGTTTCTGTCTTTTCAATGTTGCCTTTTAATTGTTTGTCTTCTTTCTATACTGTATATAGCTTTTGTGTTTCTTGTTGATATTCCCATTGGTATGCTTGTACAGGCTAACACCACTACCATTTCACAAATTACATTTCAAAGCCAGTACGTTTTTAAGTTACCACAGCAGGGTTTGATTAATTTAACTGATAGATCAATTAAAGCTCCTGCTGATTAATAAGTAGGGTCACATTTCAATCAAACTGTGATTTAAGATTGTATGTATAGTGTTTTTTTTTAAAAAACATACTGTGATGTATTACTACAAAAATGTAAGAAAAGGAGGAGAACCATGAACACTGGAAGCTGGGTTTGTAGATGTGACTTTTAGGTGAAAACAAAATGGAAGCAAAAAGTTTTTTAAAAAGACAAGAAACATACCTTGAAGATTAACTTTAATATTTTTTAATGTAAGCTTTTGTAGACAAGCCTTTTAAAAAAAAACTTTTCTATTTTGTTTTCGTCTATAATGCTTGCACAGTCTAACATGGTTACCCCTTCTACAACTAATATTTGACACTCTGTCTATTACACCAGTGGTCCCCAACCTTTTCTGAACCGTGGATCGGTTGGGGGGGTTGGGGTCCATGCATGGGGGGGCGGGGCACCCCCATGCTCGCGGGTGGGTGGCTCTTGTGGATAGGTGGGGTGAGCTCATGCGTATGCGTGGAGGGGCAGGATGTGTTTGTGGAGGGGAGGGGCATGCTTGTAGGTGGGTGGGGCCGTGTGCATGCGGGTGGGGTGCATTTAGATCTGTCTCTGTGGCCCGCTCCTGCCATGGCCACAGACCACCACTAGGCCAGGAACGGGGGTTGGGGACTTCTGTACTACACCACATAAGGAAGTCTCAGCGAGTTCACTGCAAATCTATACAGGACTGCAGTCTAAAACCTGTTCAGTCCACCTGCAGCTGCCATGGGTATAGGCTGACATTTATTTGGAATGACAAGCTTTTCATTAACTTCCTCCTAATATTTTCAGGAGCATCTCAAACAGGACAGCTTGTGTAGGAGAACTGCCTCAGTCTTTTAGGATATATCCACCACTCAAACCATGAGTCACCTTACTTAGCATTAGTCTGGAAAATTCATTTGCAATCAAGGCATTACCGAGCATTCAGTACTGATGCATCTTGACAAACAGATACTTAATCCTTGTCCAGGCCAGCTATTTACACCACACCCTTCATACTGCAATCTTTTGGAGAGTGGTGGCGGTGCAGGGTAGAGGAATAAACAAGAACAGACCCTGTAAGAGAGAAGGTGTAGAAAGGGTGCACACGCTTTCCCATCCAATCTCCCTGCCAAAAAAAACCCCACATCATTACCCTGTTGTCCCATTATTGCTACCTGGAAAAGAGGAGCAAGAGGAGGGTGAGAAGGGAATAGATGTAGGAATGAGCACAGTGTCCCCTTCAGGAAAGGAGGAAGACTGCAGCCCTGAAACATTTCTGAAGGGCACCCTTTTTAACCTTGAAAAATGGAGCAGGAGGGTCACTACATGTCAATGCCTGTAAGGGACATCCTCCCGTTTTCATTCCTGGTGGGTGTTTGCAGTCTGGCCTAACATCATTTGATCTAGCTGGGGCACACAATCATAAACGTTCTCAAATGGGGCGTGGAACAAAATGTTGCAATATTAAAAGGTCTTGTTCAGGATTCCTTCCAGCCAGATATCTACCACCTTCTTCCATGGGGATCCATTTCCTTCCCTGGTTTTCTCCATCACCTACATCACCAAGACTCAGGTTGGCATCCTATTGAGGGAATATGGGGCAGAAGCTTCTCCCTGTTCCTGCACATTCTCTCTCTCTCTCTCTCTCTCTCACACACACACACACACACACACACACACAAACACACACACACACACACAAACACACACCGCAATTGTCTGTTGGAAGTCTGTTGAGGCCTGGAAGTGGTCATGTTTGTTGATTGCTGTTATCTGTTCACTGCGAGTAGTGAAGCGTTTTTACTCTTTCTCCAACTAATGCCTTGAAATGAATTATCGAGACTGTAAGCGCCTGTTGATGAGAAAACAGGTGAACTAAACTGGGCAACCTGAAGCTATTCTGCTCTGTGAATCCCTGCACTTCTGCTGCGCAGCTGGAGGAACTTAAACAAAAATTCAAAACTCTGCAACATCCATCCCTTATGCAGATTGCAAGACTGGTCATGCTATGAGGGAATCTTACTGGAGTGGAGGGAATACTTACTTGATTACCTGTCTGCTTCACATTCTCTCTATTGTACACTGGCTTCTGTATTTTGTAATGACTCAGAATACTTGGTCCTCATTATTTGGGGGGGAGTGCACACAGGTTTTTGAACTGATTCCCCAGCGCTTGCAAAAGTCATTTTTAGTACTACACCTCCCAGAATCCTCTAGATTAATATGGGTGCTGTAGTTCAAAAAATCATTTCCCCAAACTCTGAGATTAATTTACTTCTGCAAATCCTGGGACATCCCAAGAGTCTGGTCATACTTTCCCACTTGGATCACAAGTTAAAGCAAATAAATATATATTACTTCCACTTACAAAGTTATCCTTCCAGGCACACAGTGGTTTCAGTCTTCTATGCCTGAGACATCAGACAGGTAAACAAAGCCCTGCTGTCTCCCAGTTGTTCTGTTACAAAAAAAAAAAGCAGGGTCATTATAGCACCCTATTTAGAAGCAATTGCTACATTTTAAATGGAACCTACAGTATCTTTGTATGGTGGGAAAGATTCAGAGCAAGCAACTTGTTTTTCCTGAACAATCTGCTTCAGTCCAGGCACAGACAGTTCATGAGCAACCTTAAGGACACTGGTCTTCTTATAGTTGTTTATCTCTAAACAAGAGATGATGGTGATGGTGCTATTAAACAGTCCTTTATTAACTCTAAATAAAGGCCTCTCCTCTGTAAAGTAGGTCACACACACACCCTTGGTATGACAAACAAGCATGTAACAGCCTACTAATATTTTAAGGGGCACATCCCCTCTTTCTGTCACTCTTTACTGCTCTTTGTGGAAGCTACAAACATGATCAATAAAATTTTGATTAGCTTTATTGATTAGGCAGGTGTGTTCATGTTCCTTTACTCTGCAAAGCAAAGCATTCCAGCAATGCAGTCAAGATTCCATCATGGGTTTCTAATAACCATACACATTTATTCAGTTATTTCGTTTTCAAAATCCTACACCCATTTGCACAAGAAGGTGACAGGCAACAAGGAGAAAGCGGGACTGCTTAATTCTTTTTTTGCATCTGTATTTATGCAAAAGGAAAATTGGTCCACCCTGTCAAAAGCAGCACTGTGGGAGACAGGAGAGGGAAGCAGGTCAAAATAAGTAAGGAAGTGGTGAAAGAACACCTAGCAGCTTTGAATGAGTTCAAGTCTCCTGGACCGGATGGTTTACATCCCAGGGTACTAAAAGAACTGGCAGAAGTGATCTCGGAACCACTGAATGAAATCTTTAAGAGATCCTGGAGCACGGGCAAACTGCCAGAGGATGGGAAAAGAGCTGGTGTTCCAATCTTTAAAAAAAGGGGGGGATGACATCGGCTTGACATTAATACCTGGGGAAACCCTGGAAAAAACAATCAAGGAGCAAATCTGTGAGCACCTAGACCATAACAAGGTGATTACCAGAAGCCAGCATGGATTTGTTAAGAACATGTCATGCCAAACAAAACTCATTGCCTTCTTTGATAAAGTGACTAAATTAGTGGATGAAGGAATGCCTTCAGTAAGACATTTGATAAGGTAGACCACAACCTATTTCTGTGTAAAACAGAACAAAGTGGGATAGATAGCGCAACTACCAGATGGATTTGCAGCTGGCTGACCAACCACACTCAACATGTGGTCCTCAATGGAACCACATCAACACGGAAGGAAGTGTGCAGTTGGGTCCCTTAAGGTTCTTTCTTAGGCCCAGTCCTCATCAATATCTTCATAAATGACCTGGATGAGGGGATTGAAGGAGCACTCATCAAATTTGCTGATGGCACAAAGCTGGGGGGAATTGTTAATACTTTGGAAGATAGACTCAGCATTCAGAAGGGTCTAGACAGACTTGAACATTGGGCCCTATCCAATAAGATGCAGTTCAGTGGCGGGAAAAGTAAGGTCCTGCACTTAGGCAGGAGAAACCAGATGCACAGGTACAGGATAGGTGGTACCTGACTCGACAGTAGAACCTCTGAGAAGGATTTAGGTGTCCTGGTGGACCACTGCCTAAGGATGAGCCAGCAGTGTGCTGCAGCTGCCAAGAAAGCCGACACAGTCCTAGTCTGCATCAACAGGGGAATAGCATCAAGACCCCGGGAAATGATAGTAGCACTCTCTACTGTGAGGCTGCACGTGGAGTGCTGTGTCCAGTTCTGGTCACCACAATACAAAAAAGATGTTGAGGCCCTGGAAGAGGTTGTGAAAAGAGCAACAAAGATGATAAGGGGACTGGAGGCTAAATCCTATGAAGAACAACTAAAGGAACTAGGTATGTTTAACTAAACAAAGAGAAGATTGAGGGGAGACATGATAGCAGTCTTGTAATAGCTGAAGGGTTGCCACAGGGCATTGATTTATTCTTCATTGCGCCAGGGGAAGAGGGCATTGATTTATTCTTCATTGCGCCCGAGGGTAGGACAAGAGCCAATGGGTGGAAACTCATCAGAGGGAGATCCAATCTGGAAATAAGGAGGAATTTCCTGGCAATGAGAACCATTAAACAGTGGAACAGCTTGACTCCCGATGTTCTGGGTGCCCCATCACTGAAGGTTTTCAAGAAAAGATTGGACAGTCATCTGTCCGGGATGGCATGAGGTCTCCTGCCTTGGGCAGGGGGTTGGACTAGAAGACCTCCAAGGTCCCTTCCAACCCTACGACGATTCTATGATTCTATGGCATTATAGCTTCAGATTTAGTCTGGTTACATTTTTGTACAATTTGTTATTTTGCACTTATGCCTTAGCCTCTTCGAGAAGCTTTTGCCTGATAAAGCTATAGCAAGAATTTTAAGTACGTAGAATCAATCTCAGTGATCGTAAGGACTAGAAAATGTCATCATTAGAACTGGCATCCAACATGCCACAATTCCCAGCCTATGTCTTCAGCAAACATCCTGGGAACAAAGAATCCTGCCTTATATACCAGGTCAGACTATTTATCCAAGTAGCAAGGATATAATAAATGGAGAAATTCTGAATTTAAGGAGTTCTCCAGAGTCTGTAAAAGTCTTTCTCTTCCCCTCCAACATGATCCTTTTAACTGGAGATGCCAAGGATTGCACTTGGCATCAATAGCATGCAGAATAAGCCCTTGCTGCTCAGGCAGGACTGTCAGGATGTTAATGTTATGAACACCTGAAATGTTCACTACCTGTGCATGCCATTGTCACTGTGGAAGTACATTGCAATTCTCATTCCACTTGGATCCATTCAATCCATCCCTGTTTTCTCACAATTGGCTTCACCATGTAGACTGTGTATAAAGCTGTAGTCCACCTCGTGTGCGCTATGTCTCCAAAAATGTGGATTATAATCCAAAGAAGTAAATTTGTTTGCCTAGAAGGTATCACAGTACTTCTGTTCTTGCCATTGCTCTAGCATTTAGCTCTGGCCCCCCTCACACTTAATATGAAGGTAATTTAATGCACACATAAACTGGCAACTCACACCTCCACAGAACCCTCAAGAAGACTTTGCACTGCAAATCTGTGGTCACCAAAACATTCATAGCCTGGTATCTTTCCATTTTGTTGCCTGACATTTGAGTATAAAGGTTATTAATCTAATGCCGTGTCCCTCATCATCACCAGATCAGCATAACATTCATACAGTTCATCCCTGTCAGTTTTTCAAAAGAGGAATATTTCACATTTGCTTTCTACTATACTTATGGTGGCGTTCTCGTACTTGTTATAATTAGACCAAGCACATCAGCAAATTGAAAGCCTCCACATCCAGTGCTGTTAAATGTTAATTGCTGATTTCAAAATACATATTTAGCTATTTAATCTAGGTCTGCATTAATGTTATTTTCAAGGAAGTAGGCGGGAAAACATTCAGCATCCATATGTTAGAGTAATTTCTAGGAAAACTCAGTTGTCAATGAAAGTGCCCAGAAAACACTGCTTGCCCTCAAAAGAATTGCTGGAACTTATCCATGCCAAAATCTCACCTCAGTTCATCCACTCTCTTCAGATTCCTCTCCTCTGCATAGTCCATGTAAGTTTGGCAACTGCTCCCAGCTTCACCAAGCAGCAAATGAACTCCTGGTGCAAGCTGCTGCTTCCAGACATGCCCTTAGAACAGTCAAACTGGTTCTAACAGGTCCCAGCTGAAGAGAACAAACTTGTCCAGGGTCACAAGGTGGAAAAGACCAGCAATGGCCACCCTGTTTAGCCTAAACATTTCATGTCAGATCTGTGTCATAAGAGCCTCGAGTGTTGTGTCAGCAGGTGTGGTGTTGCCATCAACAACACTAAAGTCAGCCATTCTTTCTTGCTTTGGCTTTTAATTTTTTAGAATTATTTCCTTTTTCTGATTTATTTTGTGGTGGCCATTCTGCACACACTGCTCTGAAGAATAAGGGAGGCAATGTTTTTTTAAAGCAGTTTCAGTCATTAAAATGCAGGCCAAATACCTCTGTCTTCTTTAAGCTTTTTGCTCTACCAGTGGTGCTGTTAATTAATTTTATGCTGCAGATTGATCTTATAGAGTCCCCCCGTCCAATGACAGTGCAGTTGATTTACTAGAAAATGTAGTAAGACAGCTTTGCTGTGTGTGTGTGTGTGTGTGTCTTTGATTCCTCTTTATCCTGCGGAGTGGCACCCTAAATCTTTGCCCCCAAAGCCCTATCCTGACAGCATCCTTGTGCAGGGAATACAGGAGTCAAGCAGGAAAATGACCTTTTCTACTGGCCAACAGAAACACAGGATAAAATTCAGTGGAAAGTGAACATCATTCCAATTGTTCCCAAATAGATCTTTGCCAAGTAAGAGTCAAAAATCTTGCATGTTATGAAAATTAATACATTCTTGCACTCAAATGCATGAGCTAAAAAGCATTTCTCAGATCCACAGCCTTGCATCTCTAGGGATTTATTTGAATGGCTATAGCACAGGCTTCTCCAGTAAGAAGACCTTTCTTTAGACTCTGGGCATCTCCAGCCCAGATGTGGCTGAGAAATTTGCCAGTTTGGAACCATACAGAGCTCCAGGTACCATTGTGCTACCATTGTGGCCAATAGATCAATAATCTGATTTAGTTTAGAGCAGGTTCCCAGCGAGTTCTTAATTTAAACTGTGTAGCACTATAGTCTTGCTGGTTTTTTAAAAAATCCAGCCTTGGATTTCATTCATGATGAAGATGTCTTATTTAGAGAAGGCCAATGGGGCCACACTGATCCATGCAACTGCAACCTCAAGATCAGACTGCTGTAATTCACTCTGTGTGGGACTACCCTTGAAGACATCTCAGAGGCTACAACTGATACAACACACAGCCGTTAGGCTATTAATAGGTGCTTCTCGGCATGATCATCTAACATCTATTTTGTGCCAGCTGCATTGGTTGCCAGTGGTTTTACAGGCTCAGTTCAAGACTGTTGGTTATT